TACATAAACTTGAATTCAGTTTTAATTTCAGAAGGAATTTCCTTTCGAATTCCTAAAAGTATTCAAATCAGTTGTTGAAAAAAAGCCTCTACAAATATGAAAATTACCATCTGCATCAAAAAATGTTTTGTGTGTGAGTTACTTTAAAGTGTATTCTTTAATTAAAAATTTTCTGAATTTTTCATTATCTAATTTTAGAAGTCAAAAAGTTTTCTAAGTTTTTTTATTCTACATTTTAAAAAATGCGTAAAATTTACGTATAAAAAAAGAATCATTATTAGATGAATTGCACTGAATATCTTTAATAATTGCGGGAAAAAAGTTAATTTAAAAATTAAAAAAAATTAGACACAATAATTGCTGTAATAATCAATTTACTGACTTAATACTCATTCAAATTTAAATATGGAATAAAATATCCAATAAAATTGTAATCACAGTTTCTGTTCTTTAATCAGTAATTCAGTTACAAATTGCTTTTTATTTTTAAAAATAATGAGCGAAAAAAAAAAACGCCTACTTATAAATTACATTATTTTGCATTATAGTTTATATTACTTTATGACAAACAAATATATGAAATTATATTTGAAACTTTGTGTATTTAAAATCATAATTGAAAATGATAGATATACTTTAGCTTATACAAGTTAAAATACTCTGCCTAGATATTTTTGCTTTTAAATATTTAATTACTTGTTGAATCTGAAAAAAATAAGTCAAAAAATGAAAGCAAAGTTTAAACTTAATCAATTATAGTGAACCATATTATGATTTTTTACTTAATAATAACTAACCAAAAAGCAAACTTTTTTAAAAGCTTTTTTCTGTTAAAAGTATTTGATTAAAAATCAAATTTAAATTATATTTGAGGTCTGATCATTTTAATTACTTTTTTAATTTGAAGGCAATGAGTCAAGAAATTAAACCAAAGTTTAAATTTAATCAGTGAACTATATTATGAATTTTTACTTAATAGTAATTGATCTATGAGCAAACTTTTTTTTAAGCTCGTTTTCTGCTAAAAAATATATAAAAAATCAAGTTTAAATTGCATTTCAGGTCTGATCATTTTGTTTTATCTGACATTCATGAATGATATTAATGTTTTTTTGTCTTTTTTTTGCACTGAAATATGTAAAATTCATAATATGGTACTCATTTTTTACTTGCATTACTTATAATTAATATGATTTGAATTTATGACACAAGCTTTCAGTGCAAACAAGAAGTTTGAAATTGTCTTTTTAATTATCTCAAAAACTAATTTAGGATGAATTTCACTGAAGTGCATATAATGCAGCTAAATTTCATTTTCTTCTATACCTTGTCATTACTTTTTAGAATAAAAATGAGCAAGTTAAGAAGCTCTCAGATTTGAGCACAATTCATGAATATGCATTCTTTGCAATCTACTTCAAATGCAAATTTCCAATGAAAAAATATTCAAAATCAAATTTAATTTAAATATTTTATGGCAGTTTTTTGGTATTTTTTGTAGTAAAAAATTTTTTGTACAAAATATTTCAAAAATTTGAAAATTAAAAATTATTTATATACATACAAGCAAACTTTGTTTTGCAAAAAGTGAAATCAAATGCAAGCAAACAAATAAGCTTTTATGATTTCATCTATAATTTGACTATTATAATTTGATTTATATGAAGTAACTTTTTAGTTTGCAGAAACAAATAACATTAAAGACTGCTTTTTCAAAATCAGAAGTTACTCGTTAAACGTGACACAGATGATGTTAAATTGGCAAATTTTTTTGCTCTGAAAGGTCAATTTGATCTAACACGCTATAAACTCACTTATCAATATGCTTCCGTTCACTTGAAAAAGTAATTATTTTTTGATTAATCGTTTTTTTCTGTATAATTTATGCATTTATTAAATTTATGAATTTTTTTCTCAAACTTCTGAACTCTGCAGTTCAATTATTATAAATATTAATCAAATTACTTCAAATGTTGCACTTCTTTTTGCATTTGAATAATTTAAATTCATAAATATTAGCTAATCAAACATATATATCACTACAAATGCGATGACAAATTTAACGTAGATGAAAAAAAATTTGGGATAATAATTGCTATTTCAAGTGAACGGAAGCATATTTAACCTAATAAAGCAAATTTCATAGTAGTTTTTTTGTATTTTTTGTAGTGAAAAATTTTTTTACACAAAATATTTTAAAAATTTGTAAGAATTAAAAAATATATAAGCAAAGTTTGTAAAAATTTATATGTAAGCGAAGTTTGCAAAAAGTAAAAATACATGTAAGCAAGCAAATGAGCTTTACAGCTTATCAGTGTTTATTTTAAAATTAGTACATAAGTTTATGTTTAAAACTTGACAAGAGATTAGTTTAAAAATTTAGCAAACTTTTTTTTTTTAAATAAATTCAAACGTAAAAAGATTCACGCAAATTATTTGTTTTCTGTTGTAACTTATCAATTCATTCTATTATTACTTTGGAACTCAAATGTATTTTATGTAAATTTTTTCTAGCAGTTTCTGTCACTTTTATTTTAATTAAATTGAATTCATCGCTCTTCTCAATCATTTATTTATTATTTTATTTATTTTATTAGTTACTTAAACTGTTATTTTACTTACTTGCTTGTTAATCTTTCGTGAAAATTAGTGTCAAATAATAGCAATGCTTGATGGACACTTTTCGTAGCAAAACACTTTATTACATTTTATTTTAATTTTTTCATATTTTGTACTGATACTTTTTTTATCATTTGCTATAATTTTTATTAAATTTATAAAAATTCGACAAATTTTATTTTTAAAAATTTTTTTTCAAAAAAAAAAGACACTTACTGAGTTGTCGAGAAAATGAAATTACAAAATTTAATTTATGAATTTGGCAATTTTATTGAATAACGATATTTTATGTTTTTTGATCACTTATACTTGAATTATTATTAATTTTTTTTGTGGGCAAAAAATACTGGTCTACAAATTGAAGTCAGTATTTTCTATTTTCAGTCTTTAAGTCCAATTAAGTTTGTCAAATTATTCTCAAGGAAGTCATTTTCTCAAATTTTCTGTTAATTGCAATACTTCATATTCCACTGCAAACTTATTATCAGCTCATGCTCTTTTGTTCTTTTGCACCTTAAAACATTTTTTTGAAGTGTCTAAATTTGCATATTAAGAGTACAGTCTTACCAATCTTGCATATTTTACAATTTAATGACAATTTACATTTTCATTTTATAACTAAATAATTTTAATTTATTTCAACGAATTTTAAATATTTTGCGTAGATATTTTTGCTTGTGAATATTTAAACTACTTTTGCAGTTTAAAGAAAATAAGTCAAAAAAATGAAACCAAAATTTTTTATTTTTGAATGCATCTAAATGTTTTGCATTTATTTTGAATAAGATATCTGAATTTGATACTTTTTTTATTAATATGAGCCAAAATATTGATATTTCGGAGTTTTTGAGATTAGTTGCTAAAAACTAAGTTTTAGCAGCTAGACCCAATTCCTTCATCGTCTATAAATTCGTATAATTTTACATCAGTCCCACCAGAAATTGAAAGAAACTAAAGTGTTTTTTGAGAGTAAATTTGCTAGTCTAAAAAATGCTTAAATGTTTTCCGTAAATTTTTTAACTCAAAGGTAACATCCAAACATTCAATTACTTAGTATAACTTTAAAATAATTGATTAAATTCAAATAAGCAAGCGTGTAATAAAAATAATCTCACGTAAAAACTCGTCGCTCATTTGAATCTTAGTTTTAAACAAAGCAATAATATATATATGTATATTATATATATGTAATTTTGAACGTGTATAAATTTATTGTATAAGTCATAACTTTGAGATCACTGCTTATTTTATAGCTATTAGTGCTTGTTAATTTTGCTGATAATTTTTTGCTACAAAGCTTCTAAACTTATATTTTTTTATCATCACAAATTCAATCACAAATATATTATATTCCTTTCGATATGTTATTATTTACTGCAATTATGTCTTTTTTTACGTGTTTGATACACATATTCGGCCCATAAAATTGTTCTTGAACTCGTCAGTTCAGTCTTTGACGTAAATTTGTTCTCCAAATATATTAAGCAATCTGCTTTCATTTACATAAATATCCATTACTTGTTCTACGTATCAAAAATTTGTTATTTCTCAAAACACATTAAATTTTCTACGTAAAAGCATTTATTTCATTTTGAATTGAAGCACTGAAATATACGCAAAATTTACGTATTTAAGACTTTATTTGTTGATGCAACATATCTTTTTGGTTATAAGATAAATCAACAAATACTATAGACATAATTGACTGATTTCCTCCGGAAATTTTGCGACCAAATCTCTTAGGAATTGATAGTTGCGTGAATTTGAATCTTACTTTTTAATTCTTGAATTAATTTACTCACATTATTCTTATAAAATCTTCTACTAATTTTTACAAAATAAAATTTCTTTTGAAATTTAAATTTAAAATTCCTTCTTTTTTACAATTTGAATTTGAAAAAAAAAAACTTGCTGAAAAGTAATTTTATGTATGACAAAATAAGCAATTATTAATCAAACATATATTTTTAGCTGCATTATCCATGCAATACTAAACAGATTCATGCAAAATAACTGATCTGAAAGCAGAAAATTATAGCCTGTGAGTGTAAAATAACAATGTTTAAGCAGATAATATTTATAGGTTAAAGTTCAATGTATTTTCAACCTGAAATATTTCAATTTCACCTATTGCTGCATACGTGATAATGGATTTGGTTGTGAATAAAGAAGATTCCATCAAAAATAGCACGAATGAAAATTGGATTGATTCATCGACACTGCAATCTCAGTCTGAAGTAATAATTCCTAATCATGAGCTAAACCTTTCTGGTTTATGCTTTCTTATCATTCCAGCTGTTACCTTGTTTGGTAATATGATGGTTATTATTGCTGTACTCCGATTTAAATTACTTCATTCTGCCATTAATTTTTTAATTTTTGGTTTAGCTGTCGCTGACTTTTTAGTTGGTCTTTTTGTCATGCCTTATGCTGTTTACGTTCACGTAAGTCTAATCTTACAATTAAAAAGTTTCCGCTAATTTACATATAATTAAATGAAAAATTTATGAAAAATAACTTATTGAATAGATTATTTTGGCAGAATTTTTCTTACACGTATTATATTTCTTACGCATACTTTTGCGAATTTAATTATGCTAAAGTATTTAGTGTACTTTTTATATTTTTGTATGTGATACTATAAAGTTAATAATTCATTGATTGATTTTTCAAGTACAATGAAATGATTATTACGTTTAACTTATGCAAATAGCATAGAATATAAGCTGATGACATTATGCAAAAATAAATAGCACTAAATTTGCATAATCTTTGTGAATATTTGAAAAGGAGTAGGAAAAACAATCTCTAAAAAGCAAATATCTGTCATTCAGCGTAATTATTTGTGATAATTTTGTTTATTTTACTACAATTGTTTGCAAAATTCTACTAAAAAAGATTGTGCTTTTTTTTAGCTTAAAAATTATTACTATTAGTGAGAATGTAATCATTTCATTCCTTTGCTTAGCTGCTGGCTTGCAAATAAAATTTCAAATTGAATAAACGAAAACTAAAGTGAGGCTAGTAAATAATTTTTGCAAAAAAGAAAAAATGCTAATAAAATTGTAAAAGTATTATAATAATTTTAAAAGTAATACATTTAATTTGTAAAAAATAAAAAATTTGCAACGAATGTTTTTTTTTTCTTAATTTATAATTTTTCGTATATTTTTTAAAAATAAAAAAATGAAAAATCAATTTGCTATTTGAAACATTCAAGTTTTAGTCTTTTTGAAAATTTGCATAATCTTTAAAATGCATAATTATTTTGTCTTTCAGTCAAGATTTAAAGATTTTTGTTCTTTTTTGTAGAAAAATAATGAAAAAATTTGACTGAAAAGATTTTATCTTACAGACTAGCAGATTCCAGAAGTAAAAAATGACTAATCTGATAAAAAATTATCAAATTTACCGCATTAACAGGTGGTATTTTTAAATTTTTAAATAAGATTTAATCATGGAAATTAAATTTCAACTGATTTTAGTAATCAGTAATTATTGCATTGAAATTGTACAACAATAATGACGCAATATTTTTATCATCCTTCCTTGACCTTTCAGAATATTTTTCTAATTTTTACAATAAAACTACTTTTACGTAAGAAAATCGTAATTCAGGTTCAAGGTGGTTATTGGTATCTTGGATCTTTGATGTGTGATATTTATTCAGCAAGTGATGTTGCTTGTAGTACAGCATCCATACTTTTACTTACTGTCATTAGTTTTGACAGGTAAATTCTCGGGTTTTCGTGTTTTTGCCACCTTTTTAGTATAACCAAAAATAACAACTCATTATTCCGACTAAATCATTCAGGCCAAAATAATTTGAAATTTTGAGCACAAATTAATTAATTAATTAATCAAGCAAAGGGGATAATCAACGCCTTATACATTAAAAAAATGTTTCCTTTTACGTATTCTCTGAAATAAAAATCACGATATTTAAAGAAATATGAAATATAGTATATTAAGTATAATCAAAGTTACTACTTTATTATGTATAAAAACTTTATAGTCTAAAAAAGTTAGTGAAAAAGTGATTCAAAATAAAACTTACAATTAATCAGTAAGTATTTCAATTTCAAATTACCTTTCTTGAAAATACTTTTTTGGAGGGAAAATATTTATGAATTTGCTTATTGTTCATGAAACTAATAAAAAGCATTACAAAACAAGAGCAAAAATTTTGAAATTTTTTAAAATAATCAGAAAATTTTTGAATTTTTGAAAATTCGAAATAATCAGTTTTGAAATTTTAAAAATAGCAAATTTTTCCACTTAAATTTGCAGATATCGAGCGGTTACGCATCCTATTACTTACTCACTCCAATCACACAATACAAAACGGGTCATTTTTATTATGATTATTATTTGGGTTATTTCACTCTCACTTGCTAGTCCAATTGTACTTGGTAACTGACATTTTTTATTTCTTACGTATGATTACGCCAGTATGACGTAAATTTGTTTTTGTTTTTATTTGTAAACGTATACAAAAGTCATACATATTTTATTGTATTTTTTTCACCAAAGTGAATTGAATAACAGTAAAAACAAATGCATAAAAAATTTACTTTGCACTAAAAATTTCTTGTTGAAAATTTTGAAAAAAAACCCATTGTAGATGAATTCAAATGTTTACAATATTAGTAATCAAAATAGTAATTGAAGGAGTGAATATTCGGCCACCTGATGCTGATCCATATGAATGTCGTCTTTATAATCCAATATTTTCCATATTTTCATCAGTTATTAGCTTTCTAATACCGTGTTTTATCGTTCTATTCGTTTATATTAGGTCTATATTTAAATTTTTTTATATATAATTATTTAGCAATTTTTGAATATTTATTCACTAAGAAAAATAAAGCACAAAAAAAAAAATTTTTCATTTTTTGAAAATTATTTCAAACTTTAGTGCACTCATTATTATGAACAAATTACTTAAATACTTTTAGGATAATGATTTTTTTACGTCGAAGACGAATAATTGCTAGAAAACATGAATTATTATCCTTGAAGCAGTCAAAAAAGTTTGTATTTTAAAAAAACTTTGCAAAATTTTTAAATTTTATTGTTGAAAAATTAGAAAAAAAATACTTGCAAAATACCAAAAAAAAAGTACCAAATTACTGTTATTACTTTTTGCTGAAAATGTATTAATACAGTAAATAAATCCTTTATGCTTTGACTAATTAGTCTAAAGCTTTTTTGAGTATTCAAAAAATTTTCAAAGAATGCATCTGCTAAAATAATTACCCTAATAAGTTTTCAAATGCTTACAGATTATAAATCTGAAAAAAAATTTTTGAAAAAGAGAAAAATTGAAATGATAACAGCAAAAATGACGATAAATCTTGAGATAAAATCGAGATTATGGATGTAATACTTGTATTGATTTACATAAAAGCTGATCAAAGTTAAAATCAAATCTCTTTTCTACATTTTACAATCAACAAATCAAAAAATATTACTTTTCCAAAATTTTTGTCTTTTAAATTTTTAAATTTTATGTCAAATTTTGTAAAATTTTTAAAAAAAATTTATATTTTACTAAGTTTACGATTACAGAAGTTTCAGATTCATGAAGGAAAGGAGCAGTTCTGATTACAGTGGTCCGAAAGTAGCCAGTAAAATCGGTTTGTTCAACCAAAGTTAATTGTGTGTCAAAAATTTTGCATAAAATTTATTGAAAATGTTAAAAACATATTTTATTTCAAAATGATAAAAATATATAATTTTTTTTCAACTGAAGATAAGCTTTTACGCGTCTTAAAATTGACCTAAAAATTAATTACTATATTTGAAAATTAATATCAAAAATTTACTTAAAAACTGATAACTGACCTTTTTTTACTTTTTTTGAACAAAATATATTTGCAAAAACAAAATTTTGAAACTTTGTAATCATAAACTAATCATAAAAATAGAAATAAAGAAAAAATTTTTTGTACCAAAAGTTTCTGACTGAGTTCAGTTCTAATTATTCAAATATTTAATTGCTTAATGAAAATCTTTGAAATCATTTTTAATTTGATTTTAAATATTTTTACTTTTTCTACAATTGCGATCACATTTCTATTTATTTTCATGTCGTCTGATGTGTGAATTCTTTAATTTTGCTTCAAAAATGTTAAAATTTATTTTATTTTTATTAATTTTAACACACAGAACAAATAACAATACAACTTGAAAAGCATAAGTGCAGAAATAAATTATCAACATTTACTGATAAAGATTAAGTGTGATATTGATTGTTTTACAGTAATCAGATCTGATAAAAATCATTGATAAAAAAATTGACAAAAATCAATTATAATATCATGTTATATTAATTTGATTTTTAATTGATAAAAATCAATTATGATGTCATATTATATTAATTTGATTTGAAAATTGAGGTCAATACAGAAATCTTGATTGATTCTAACTTTTATAACTTAGATATCTTAGCAACTTAACTATGCAAAAAATAAAATCTAAAAACTTTTTTTCAAATTAAATATAGTTAATATTCAAAATTATTAATAATGATGCAAAATTAGCTACAAAGTTATTTATTATAAAGTTTGGTATGCATTATAAACAAAGCAACAAAACCTTTGCAAGAAAAGTTATAAAAAGTATAACATTTCTCTTATATGCTGATAATTTGATTCTTAAACTGATTGATTGATTGATTGACTGGTTGATCACTAAACTGATCAGTGCAT